CTGTCCAATTAATTTCTTTCTATTTTTTTTGGTAGAGACGGGGTCTCTCTTGCTCAGGCTGGTCTCGAACTCCTGAGCTCAGAATGATCCGCCCGCCTCAGCCTCCCAGAGAGCTAGGATTACAGGCGTGAGCCACCGCGCCTGGCCAGAAATGCCTACGTTTGAACCCAAGGTTATCTAACCAACACACCACTGGTGACTGTTCAACATGAACCATGAGGCAGCGGTCACTTTTTCCAACCTGTATGTTTTCCACAATAACAGACTGCCTCCCACTCTTAGGCCCATAACCAAGAGAAATTAAAACACAAGCCCTCATGAAAACTTGAACACAAATGATAGCCAAAAGTGGAAACAACCCAAATGTTCAATAGATGAATAGAGGAACAAAATGTAGAATATCCATGCAATGGGATGTCATTCAGCAATAAAGATGAAGGAACTACTGACACATGCTATTAATGCAACACGGAGGAACCTTGAAAACATGCTAAGTGAAAGAAACCAGAGACAAAGCGGCCACATGTCGTATGACTCCATTTGTATGAAATGTCCAAATAAGCAAATCCATAAAGACAGAAAGTAGATCAGTGGTTACTTAGGGCTGTGGATGAGGAGTAACTGCTAATGGTTACTGAGTTTCTTTTGGAGTTACGGGATTAGATAATCGTGATGGTTGCACAACTCTGAATGTACTAAAAACCAACAAATTATATACTTCAAAGGGTGAATTTTACGCTATGTGAATTATTAAATACATGTGGAAAAATAATAGTCATTAGTTATTTTCGATATTTCAAAAAAACAGCAGAAACCATATAGGTGAGACTCACTAATATGTCACATTTTTGTTTGGGCTTAGAGTGAGGCAAGTGAGCATGGTAACCCTTGTTAGTCCATACAAATAACAAAAGTGTCTCTGTAATGACAAGCTTTTACTGCATGCAGGCACTGTGCTAAGCACTTTGCATACACCAACTCGTAATCCTTGTAACAGTCCTGTGATGCTGACATTTCATTCCCTTTTTAGATGGGGAAATTAAGGTTAGGAGAGTTGAATAACTTGCCCACGGATGTACAGCTTCCAACTTGCAGAGCCAGGATTTTAACCAAGTCTGAATGCAAACTGCCTCCTTGTATTGTGTAGATTGGGAATTTTGTGTGGAGGTTAATTTATTCATTTGTGGTTTAGTTCTACAGATAATTATTAAGAGTTACCAATGGCAGTGCCAGAGAATTTACCACTCTACCTCCAGCTACTCCAACTCTAAGAAAAAACTATGTGCTTGCTGCTAAAAATAATGTTCAAAAAGGTAAAATCATGACTCTCTTGCAAATAAAACATGAACATGTATCAAAACTTTTATTTAGCTCATTGGTTAACGAGGGAACCATTAAGATGTCAAAACCAATTCAAATGGGAATTTCATGTACAGAAATTTATATTCTAACAAAATTGATTTGGCTCACTGTAACAGGGATCATTTGCATTGGCAGATCAGCACTCAGCAGCAGCAATAGCCAGGTCAGCCTTTGTAGGGAGGGAGAATTGCATGTTGAGCCCACGCAGACCGTCTGTCCCTGCTGCCATGACCTCTTTGTTCATGGCCCCACTGAGCAAGCACTGCAGCAGCTGGGAAGAGAGGCTGTCTGACATCCACAGAGCATGTAATTTTGTCCACCTGATTAAGAGTCCCCTCTGCAGCCAGGCGCGGTGGCTCACGCCTGTAATCCTAGCACTCTGGGAGGCCAAGGCAGGTGGATTGTTTGAGCTCAGGAGTTCGAAACCAATCTGAGCAAGAGCGAGACCCCTTCTCTACCAAAAATAGAAAGAAATTAATCGGACAACTAAAAATATATAGAAAAAATTAGCCGGGCATGGTGGCGCATGCCTGTAGTCCCAGCTACTTGGGAGGCTGAGGCAGAAGGATTGCTTGAGCCCAGGAGTTTGAGGTTGCTGTGAGCTAGGCTGATGCCACGGCACTCTAGCCTGGGCAACACAGTGAGATTCTGTCTCAAAAAAAAAAAAAAAAAGAGTCCCCTCTGCAGTTGATGCCCTTTAGTGCCCATTCACGTGGGACACAAGTATCTTCGCAATCTGTGCCCATTCTGAGGGGTCCAGCCACATCTTTCCAAAATTTTCTTATCACCACTCTTCCAATACTGTTCTTTTCAAGGTCCTGACCATCCAGCCAAACCATCAGCAACTGCCCGTGAATCAATGTAGAACTGTACCCTGGCCATTTCGCACTCCAGACATAGGGGACAACCAAATATGCACCTTGCATTTCTGCCCACTGGAAGAACTTTACTTCACCACTGTCCTTCACAGTGAACCCTGAGTATGAGTGACTGCTGTCGCTGTCCACTTTCATGAGGTGCCAGCATATCGCGCAGACCCATCTGTAATCCAGGGTAGAGTTTTCCTCCCGTGGTCAACTGGCCATAAGCAACATCCTAAGAGGCCATAAGCACAGAACAAGAGAGAAGAGGCAAAGCAACAGGAGTTGGTGTGGAAGGAGCCTGAGCCATCTGCTCGTACAATTTACTTGTACCTTCTGAACATGCCTCAGCTCAGTCTCTAATATATCATTTCTATTTCATGATAGATTGCTGCTGTGTATGTCCAGCTTTATGGCCAGCTGGGTCAGACAACATCCAGTTCATGATGGGAGCTCTGGCTGCATGGTTACCTGATACCCCATGGTTAGGCATTCAGCCTCTGCCAAGGCCCAGCAGCAAGCCAGACCCTGCTTCTCAAAAGGAGAAGAGTTATCTTCGTAAGAGGGGATGTATTTGCTTCAAAATTCTAGAAATCTTCACTGTCTCCTATTAGTGCTTGCCAGAGGCTCCATAGAGCATTCCTATTTGACCTGTCAAGTACCACTGGATCTGTTGGATCATAAGACCCAAGAGGTAGAGCAGCTTTACTGCAGCCTAAAGCTTCTATAGAGCCTAATCTTATTCTGGTCCTCGATCCACCAGCCTGTTGATTGGGTTGAAGTAGTGCACTCATATGTGGTATATGTTGTCTCCAAAATCCAAAACAGCTGACTGCTACAGACTGAATGTTTTGACCCCCCCAAACCCCAATGTGATAGTGTTAGGAGATGGGGCCTTTGGAGGGTGATTAGATCATGAGGATGGAATGAGAATGGAATGCCATTCATGAGGATGAATGGGATTAGTGTCCTGATAAAAGAGACCCCAGAGAGCTCCTTCGCCCCTTCTGCAATGTGTGGACACAGCAAGAAAACTGCTATCTATGAACCAGGAAGCAGGCCCTCACCAGGCACAGAATCTGCCAGCACCTTGATCTTGGACTTTTCAGCCAACAGAACTGTGCGAAATAAATTTCTGTTGTTTATAAGCCACCCAGTCTATGGTATTGTGATAGCAGCTGGAATGGACTAAGACACCAAGCTCTATGCCTCTTTTTTCTTGTAGGTGATGCAAGATGTAACGCCTCATCTTTCACTCTGAGAGGGATATTTCAACATGCTCCAGGCCACTGAACCCCCAGAAATTTCACTGCTAGCACTAATTCTGTATCAGTCTAGGTCCAATCAAGAGAAAGAAGCCATAGAATAATATGAACAGAGAAAGTTTAATATAAGAAGTGCTGCCTTTATCAGGGGATTGGAACAATGAGGTACTGGGCAATAAAAAGTAAAGTGAATTCTAAGCAGTATGGGAAGGATAGCATCAGAAGTAGCCACTGGTCTAGAACTGAATACTCCTTCAGCTTTTATTACAGTGATTCACTGAACTGCACTGTTGGCCGTTCCTTTGTCTCCATCCATCACTAGACCGCAGGGTCCTTGCGGTCAGGGACCACATGTCTTGCTCTCCATTGTATCTCCAGCGCTAAAGGGGGAGGCCCGGCACCCCGAAGGCTCTAACCGTATATGAGCGAATGAGTGACTCGCAGCCCCGGGGATAATTAGCCTGTTTCCTGCCACACGTGCTAGCCCCAAAGAAAGGAATCTACAACACACACCTGGAAGCTTAGGTCCAACCTGGAGAGCCTGATAAGGCCTGCAAGGCAGCCGTCTGTGCAGGGCTGTGTGCAGCCTTTGTCAACCTCTCCTTAAGAGGAGGCCACGCCCACGCCAGCTTCCCAGATTGTCCCCAGGCCCGGAGCTAAACAGTAACTCCAAAGAGTCTCACACTGTAAACGCGCCACACCGCTGGGCCTTGCCTCTGGGACTGTGGCAGGTGTAGGTAGGATTCCCATCAAAGGCTCCTCTTCCGACCTAGAAAAGCAAGTGCTGAGGCCCGCCGGCAGCCGGCCGGGGCGGGGCCCCGCAGCCCCTCCCTGGGCGGGGGGCGCGGCCGGGCCTAGAAAGCAGGCGGAGGCCCAGGCCCCTGGCAGAGGCCGGGCCATGGGTGACCGGTTCAGGGAGCGCACCGAGCGGCTGCTGGCCGACTACCTGGAGTACTGCACAAGGGAGCCGGGCGCCCCGGGGCTGCCGCCGTCCTCGCTCGAGGCCGCCGCGATGCGCTTCGCAGCCACCAAGATACGGCGGAAGCACGCGTCCTTCTTCTCCGCCTACGTCGGCTACCCCGGGAACCGCGTCTACCTGCTGGAGCGGATGGCGGAGGCCGTGCTCTGCGACAGCCTCAGCTGGGGCCGGGTAGTGATGCTCGTGACCTTCGCAGGGACGCTTCTAGAGAGAGGGCCGCCGGTGACCGCCTGGTGGAAGAAGTGGGGCCTCCAGCCGCAGCCGAAGGAGGGGGATCCCGAAGTCGCCCGGGACCGCCAGCGCCTGGTGGCCCTGCTGTGCGCCCGGCTGGCGGGGCAGCACCGCGCCTGGCTGCAGGCTCAAGGCGGCTGGGTGAGCACGACGCTGCGCGGGGACATCCGATTTGAGGGGGGTGGGGGGCGAGTTTCTCGAAAGAAGCGAGGCGTCTTTTAGCGGGACTGGGACGTTCGGTGTGAAGGCCTCTGTCGGTAGTCAGACTGGCAGGCATCGGCCTTGCCAGACGGCTCTTGTGACCCCATTCGGAGGCAGCTGCGCCCCACTTGGGTCTGCACGGTCCCACCCTGCCCTCGCCTTAGCCCGCCCTCGGGGGCTTTCAGGAAGCGCCCACCTTGGGTCTGGATGCTTTGCTCCTGTAGAGATCCCCAGCTAGTACAGTGAGCAGCGGGTGGCCCGGGCCACGTGGGGTTTGTCCTCCACCATCAAATGCACCTCTGGAGATACTCGGACCCTTTGATCGACCACAGCCCTTCTCTGGAGGAGCCCAGTTAAGGTCTCAAAAAGAGTTAAGGAATCTTAGGCCAATGTTTTAACTCATGACAAGTACTCAGAAGTGTTAGGACAAGGACACAAATGGCTCTTCTTTGAGTGGGGACATCAGAGTCTACAGGCCCATTGCTCCAAAGAATTGCAGAAGAAACCGCATCGCATTAAGTGGGAATATGGTGCTATTTGCTTAACTCTTTTTGAGACGGAGTCCAAGCTGGTCAAGAAATCCTGGGCTCAAGCTTCTGCCACTCTAGTGGTTTGAGATTGCAGGCGGGCGCCAGAGCACCCGGCTGGTTCCTTAATTCCTAATCCACTGTACCCAGCCCTCAGGAGGGACATACGCCTCTTGGGTTCTCAGCTAGGCCCCCTGTTTCTTTCTTCTCCTTATTGGAGTTAAATCAATGCTGAAGGGACTCATGTTATGGGATAAATACAGCCAAACTATTAAAACCAGGGATTTAAAAAATAATTTAGCCTCTCCTGTGGGCAGTTTCCATTTAGGCCTCTTACAGTGCCTAACTGGGTTCCATTTGAGGGCAAAAGGTAGCATGAGGTGTTAGCATTAACTCCGGCATCATTCCCCGTGTTTGTGTTGGTCTTCCGCTTTCTGAGTCCGTGAACTCCCTCAGCTGAGTTCTAAGGACCTCACCTGAGCCCTTTGTCTCAACAAGCATCTGGCCCCGAAGCTCTCTGCACCTAAGAGGAAATGAGGATGGAGGGGGTTGTTTTTGACTTCATTTTTTGGGCTAATCAGCACTGACTAAAGATTAGTCTCTTAACGTCAAGAAGCCAAAATTCTCAAACTGGATGAACAGGATTCACCTGCATCTCTGCCACTGCAGTTAAAATTCCACAGCCTGGAGTTCCATTCCCTTCCTATGTGGAGTCACTTGCTCTGTTCTCGGGTGATAACTTTTCAATCTAGTGCTTTGACAGTTTCCCTGATGGCACCTGTCTTTTGCTCAGAAAACATGAGATAGTAGTCCACCTTCCTCTTGTTTTGAAATCAAAATGAGTGTTCCTGCTCTAAGTGACAAAGATAAATGGCTGCTTCCGTCCACCTCATTGGACTACTTTTCACCAATCCTAAATCCTCAAGGGTTCCTAATTAGAGATGCCTATTGGTCAGAATTTCCTTTCCTCTTACTCTCTGAATCGAGGTTGTTTTACTGTTTAATGTGGAAACTCCTGTGTATTTGGAGCATCACAAAGCGATCTAATTCTTTTCTCTCTCTCCCATGTAGGATGGCTTTTGTGACTTATTCAGGAAACCCTTGCCGCTAGCTGTTTGGAGGAGACTGCTGGTCCAGGTTCTTTTGTCATGCTTTTTAGCAACGACCGTCATCTATTTCTGGACACGATTATTATGAATTTTTAAAATTTTAACCCATTTTTACCTGTGTGACTGACTGGCTAAGTGATTAGAGACGGGAGAACGAGAACTGAAGTAAACCACCTTCCCTGAGACGTTTTTACCTGAATATGCACAAGGAGTCCTGAGGTGACGACTTGGCCAGTGTATTAACTCATGACAAGTACTCAGAAGCATTAGGACAAGGACACAAATGGCTCTTCTTTGAGTGGGGAAATCAGTCTAAAGACTCATTGCCCCAAAGAATTGCAGAAGAAACTGCATCCCATTAAATGGGAATGTGGTGCTATTTGCTAAATTTGGCTAAAAGTGAATATGAACCTCTCATCTATCCATGACTTCATGTGCTGCTAATTTTATTCATGGCCACAGGTCACGGGCAAAATGATCCCCAAAGCAATCTAAGTCCCAGTTTAACAAGGAATGTAATATTAAAACCTCTTATAAGGAATTCTTTGAAATCTAATTCTTTGAACATTTCTGACTTCAATAAATTGTTAAATAACTTCAAAGTTTTAATAAATTCATCTTTTTTAAAAACTTCGCCGGCTTTCCTAATTCAATTAGCCTTTATTCTTAGGAGAAACTTGATGACAATTTCCATTTTTGTCTCCTAAATATACATGTAATGCTTTATTTTAAACATTTAATCAACACACAAGCTCGAAGTTCTTCCTCTCTTCCACCTTCCGTGCTGCAGTCAGCCCATCACTTGCACCGTCTCTCCAGGCCTTCCTGGCCCTTGTCATACTTGCATTTTATTAACCTCAACCGGACCTGCTTTTGGACTTGATCTTGTGAGCTCTTCATCTTTAGAACATGGACTCTGCCTCGCTGTTCTTGCTGTTGCAGTGCATTCTCCTTATAGCAGGATAAACTGATTTAACTATCCTTCCATTGCTGTGTGTTTTAGGGTGTTTCTCCTTTTTTGGGCTATTAGAAACAGCACTGTGTGGAATTTTTGTGCATAGACTTCCACACATGATTATGTTGGTAAAAGAATTCTAGAAAGATTCTGGATCCCAATTCATATATATTAAAACGTGATTACGACCGAGCCATTACTCAGAATAGGCTCTACCAGGCCAAACTTACACCAGTGTATGAGAATGCTGAGCTTGTCACACTCTTGCCAATGTTGGATCATCCTCAGTCTCTGCCTTTATGGCTTTGGGGGTTTGGGTCTTTAGGAAGGTCATCCTTGTCCCAAGATTATAAAAAGTATTTTATGTTCTCAGTCACTGACCCATTCTGGAATTCTCAGGTTTTGGTTTTCTGGGGGGTTTTTTGTTTGGTTTTTTTTTCTGGAGACTGGGTCTTTGTCAGCAAGGCTGGAGTGCAGTGGCACAATCATAGCTCACTGCAGCCTCCAACTCGTGGGCTCCAGCAATCCTCCTGCCTCAGCCTCCTCAATAGCTGTGACTGCAGATGCACACCACCACATCTGGCTAATTTTTCTTATTTTTTTTAATTTCAGAGTATTATGGAGATACAAACGTTTTGGTTACATAAATTGCTTTTGTACAGTTCGAGCCAAAGTTATTGTACCTGTTAGGTGTGAATTTAGCCATTCCCTCCTCTCCCCTCCCACCTGTTTGACTTCTGATGAATGTTACTTCCATATGTGCACATAAGTATTGATCAGTTAGTTCCAATTTAATGGTGAGTACATGTGGTGTTTGTTTTTCCATTCTTGTGATACTTCACTTAGAAGAATGGGCTCCAGTTCCATGCAGGTTAATTCAAGAGGTATTAGTTCACCATTTTTTATGGCTGAGTAGTACTCCATAGTATACACATACCACTGATGTATTGATGGGCTCTTGGGTTGTTTCCACATCTTCACAATTATGAATCGTGCTGCTATAAACACTCCGGTGCAGGTATTTTTTTTTTTTATAAAATGTCTTTTTTTCTTTTGGGTAAATACCCAGTAGTGGGATTGCTGGATCAAATGGTAGGTGTACTTTTAGTTCTTTGAGGTATCTCTATACCACTTTCCATAGAGGTTGTACTAGTTTGCAGTCCCACCAACAGTGTATAAATGTTCCTATCGCTCTGCATCCACACCAGCATTTGTTGTTTTGGGACTTTTTGATAAAAGCCATTCTCACTGGAGTTAGGTGATATTTCATTGTGGTTTTGATTTGCATTTCCCTGATGATTAGAAATATCGAGCATTTTTTCATGTTTGTTGGCCATTAGTCTATCTTCCCTTGAAAAGTTTCTTTTCGTGTCTTTGGCCCATCATTTCTCCCTGGTAAGAAACCCGGACCTTGGACTTTGATCGTCTCCTTGTCCAGCTTGTCTGCCTGTTCTGAGTTCTCAGTCACCTGGTCCAACTCCTCACTCAGCTCCTGGTAGGATGTGGAGCGCTCCTGCCGGATCACGGCACTGACCAGAGGTACGGTACACCTGAGCCCGCTACTGCACCGGCCGCTGTGCCAGGACCTGCCGGCTCTGCGAGGCAAAACCGGTTTGCACGGGCATCCCGGAGACAAGCTATTATTTTTTTTTTTTTTAGAGACAGGGTCTCGCTGCATTACCCAGGCTGATCTCACACTCCTGACCTCACGCAATCTTCCCACCTCAGCCTCCCAAAGTGCTGGGATTACAGGTGCAACCCACCACACCCAGCTGGCTGCTTCTTTCTAAAAGAAGAGTTGGAGTAGTTATTTCGGCATTGTTCATTGACAGTCCTTTATTCCCCTGCTGATTTAAATGTATTCACTATTTTATTCTATTGACTTTTCTTCCAATAGCTCTGTCTCAACTACTGTATCTTCCCAGCATGTTTGACCATCTGATGGGAGAAGTCTAATCCCTTCCCCTACCATTGTTGTCTTTCAGAAATCCTTGGCTATTTTTGTGAGTAGTGAATTAAGGTGAATTTTTAAAACCAGCTTATAAAGAATACATACGTACATACATACATTGCTTTAGGATTTTGATCAAAATGGAATTGGATCAACACTGTCTTCCCACCTAAGAACATGAACTCCTGCTTCATTTATTCAGGTCTCGATGGTTTTCTTTATATAGGTTATATAATCTTGGCCAGATATTTTCCAACTCTTTGGTTCCTATAGCTATTGAGAATGGAATACGTAGAGGATATTGTTTGCCTTCCCCGAAGCATTTCCTCTTGTGATGACAGCTCACTGACCTTACAGGATCTACCCATCCTCTGTTCTTACACCATGTGGCTCTGGTGGGGTTGATTCCTCCCCACCCCAGGATTGGGAACATGACCCAGATCTGGCCTAATAGAGCCCCTTTGGGGCAAGGTAACGGGGCTCAATTCCAGCGTTTCTGTGCACTGTCAGGGGAGACTTTTTATACTACAAGCAGAAAGGCTTCCTGGTAGAGAATACTGCACAAAAGGAGAAAGTCCAAAGATTTGGGGGCAGAGCAGGGTGGAGAAAGTTCTGGTGGCATTGCTTATATCTCCCAATTTGGCTGTGCCTAAAGCTATTTGGGACTCAGATCTCCTTTTCTCCTTAAACCTATTTTTGTTGCAAGTGAAACTCAGCTCAGTCCTGAGTCCCAGAATCAATTTTTCCCTATTACATTGATTATCTGGTAATGGCTGCCATAAAAAGAAACTTAGTGTAGATTCTAAATCTGGCTATTTTGAACTCTCATTAGTTCTGCTGTTTCTTTTCCAGCACTTACACTTCACTTTCTTTTTCTTGGTTAATCGCATGAATTTGTGAATGGTAGTGATAACTGTTCTCTGGTGGGAATTCTGTGGGTTTCTGGTCTATTGATGACTGCCTTGTCTTCGGGCCCACATTCACTTTAGCATTGCAGGAGGAAGGAGATGTGGGGACATTGTTCAAACTATAATCCAACCTAGCTTCTCTCAGGTTCTTGGAGTCAATTAAGGATTGGACATGTCTGTGTTAATCCTCTGCGGTAAGAAGCCATCTCCTAAGGCTGAGCGGTGCTGATGGCGCAGTGGGGAGGCCTTCCAGGGTCAGGTAGTGTTTTTGATGACAACATCTAGACACAAGAAGGAAGGATTATTTTTCCCATGTGGTAATCATGTCACTGTTTTCTACCACGTGGATGCTTGTTCCACAAGCTAAATATTCTGAGCTAAGAAGAGGAAAGATGGTTAGCATGATATACACCGATTGCTGTGACAGTTCCAGCACTCTCGGGGTGCTAATTCTTATCCCCCAAGATACCATTACCCATCAGCCTGCAAGTCATGGGTTCCCCCCAGTAGCACTTCTCAAGGGGTGACAGTCCTGAAATCTTGGAGACTCTTGGCCAGATACCCTGCCCCTTGTCTACTTTAAGGGATAATATCTTCGTTATTATTATCTCTGGTTTTTGCTGCATTTCCGGCTTCCACCTGGGCACGTCTAGGTAAATGGTGTTTGCTTCAAACTCATCATTTTTTTCCCCAGTTGTACTTTCCCTATAACCTTGGAGACCTTTTGTGTCCCAACCCCCTCATCTTCCTGCTTTTTCCCCACCCACACCACTGTCATTCCCAGGACATATTCTTGCCCTCTATGAATCAAAATGTTCTCCATTCCCCTCTAGCAGCCTTTCTTGGCCCCATGTTCCTTTAGGACCTTAGAAACTCCTTCTAGCACTCTCTGATCCCTTGCCATCTTTGCATATCCCAAATCCATCTGCAATTTGGCTCCCTGGAGTACACTAGTAAAATAATTCTCAGGGAGAAATCCTTGCTCAAAAATCTCCGTGGATTCCTCACTGCCTGCAATGGAAATGATCCGAGTCCCCAGGACTGGCTTTCAATGTTTCCCCACATTCCTGTCGGTCCAGCTCAGTGTCCCCTGGGTTCATGGTCTGCATCTTGTCAGCCTCTTTCTGTTCATGCCATTTCTCCAACAAGACCACTCTTTCCCATCTGCCGTGTCTCCGTTTGTTGAAGTCCTTCAATACCCACATTAAATTTTATCTCCTTAGTGAAGTTTCAAGAGAACATTCTCCCTCTTGGTGCTAAACACTGTCTATAAT